ACATTATAAGGTGATCTTTGTGTACAGAATTTGGCGTATCACACAACTTATTTATATATTTGAATTAATTAACTATTTGCTTGGTGTTATTTTTTGATGTTCAACATGTAGATAACCGTAAATGTGAGTATTTTTTCTAACGTATGTAAAATGGTAACTAAAATCCGGCCCCGGCCTGTTTTTGAATTTTAAATCCGGCCAAGTCCGGCCCCGGCCGGATTTGAAAAACCTGAATCCGGTGCATCCCTAGTATGTATGTATGTATGTGCGAGTCCTTGGTTAAAAACAATAGCCATAAAAACTATCATTTCGCCCCTGCTCAACAGATAATATTAGTGTACAGGGTCTCGCACAGAAGGGCACTTAGCAATGTTCTCTAAAATACAAAATGAATTAAACTTTTGTAACAACAACGATATATTTTGCTTTATATAAATTTTATCATTGGGATCACCAGATTTTTCAACTATTTTAGTAGCAATGTTATCAAAAAATAATTGTGTCTGCTTATCCACTGAGCCAAATGTCTCCACACAGATCGGAACAAAAACTCTCGTATTGTCGTTTAAATCTTTATACTTAGTATTTTTGAAATCAGCAGCTTTCACCGCGGCGGAACCTTGCTCCATAGCCGTGTAATTGATGTACCTTTCGGCTAACGTGTGAGGGAACGTCACATCCCATGATAAACAACAACCTTGGGACCATGGTACCAGGGTGTAACCATCTGGCCTGAAGTTGCTTTCAGATAGTAGGCCTGCTGGTTCCTTAACGGCGGGTATATCTGCTTTCTGGAATAATTTGCATATATAATCATTCATGGCAGAGTGTCTTGCTTGTCTTCCTGAACCAAGCCTACACGATAAACCATGGTGACCCAATTGAAAAACATCCGCCCCAAACAAGCATCTGTAACCTGACACCACCGGCAACCCAAGTCTCAAGCATAAACTCACTCTAATAGTGAGTTTATGCTTGAGAACCATTGTCGAGCCTTGTACCACAAGCTGTACTGGGAATGACCCTTAGCCAAGCAGACCCCAATTCACTTCTGACGGCCATCAACCTGGCCTTATCTGAGGGAGAGTCATTTAATTCCTCCAGTTTCGATTTTGAAACATTCAAAGATGGTTCATTCCATTTCTTCTGCGAACACACATTTATGTCCATTATATCTCCGTAAACCGTGCACCAACGCCGAAATGTTTCAAGTCTCAAATCATCCTGGTATGCTACATCCATTGGTAAGATTTTATCCTGGAGGGCTGCCGTGGCCGCGGCCGATGACAAAAATGCTGACGGTGCCAACTCGGCCACAACACCCAAACCCAGTCCACCCATATTTACCGGCAATATAGCCTGCTTCCAACCTTTATCATCAAAAAACACATTAAATATCTTCTGAAAACCCATGCGTAGTTCGTTGTTGAATTCATCTGACTTTTGTTGAGACGGGCCAGGAGATGTACGTAAAAAGTATGACAGCCTTAGAATGAATGCTGCCTGCGTCAACAGGACAAGGGCGTCATGCTTGCCAATCTCCGTCATCATTGACATAATATGTTTAAAATCCTTCAGCTTTTCAGCCCAAAAATTATCATGGCGTTTTCCTCTACAAACTATCGAACCCAAAAATTTTAGATCATTCATCTCAATTCTTTTAATATTTGATTGGGCGAAAGATAAAGCTGTTGAATTTGTAGTGATTTCGCATTTTTTTAAATTCAACTTGAGACCATATTCACGACCATTACTGTTGATCAATTCCACATCATCCATTAGGTCCTTTACACATCCCCCCAACGCAATATCGTCCAAGTATGCGACAACAAATTTAGATCGAAATGCCTTTACCAGTGGGTCGATCGACAGCGAAAAGAGAAACGGTCCCAAAGGATCCCCTTGTTGCACACCTTCTGATGAAAAAATGATGCTGTTACCAAGTGACAGGAATGAATCAGCATCGTACGCCAACCAGCAAAAATTGAAAATTTCTGGGAGCCGAGATTTGACGCATTGAAGCATATGGTCACGACGAATCGAATTGAAAGCATTTGAAAAATCAAGTTTTAGAAAGCCTTCATCTTCCTTCATATTATTGACGAATCGCCTAACAGCGTGTATCGCTCCTTCTGCTCCACCGCTAATCCCGACACCGACCTGCTGAGGCTGGAGAATTGGACCCACCCTGTCCTTGATGACCAATAGCGCACATTTTGCAGCCCAGCGTCTCCATACATATCCAATGGCAATAGGTCTGACACCACCATCCTCCTTTGACAAGGCCACCAATCTCCCGCCAAACAAGTATGGAACTACCTCGGGTGGACAAACGCCACTCAACAGCAGATTGATAAAATCGGTCATGGCGCTGATAAGTTCTGCTGTTTCTATTTTATCATGCGTTAAATCCCTTAAATGCTGTGGGGTTAGGCCATCTCTACCTCCTGAGGTTCCTTTTGGAAACTGCCTCAAGCACAACATAATTTGTTGGGGATTAACTGTAACGCTTGTCGATTCTTTGTTGGGACTTGGTTTTCTGTCTAACGGAGCGGGAGGGTGTTTGTCCTTTAGGGAGTTGATAGTGTTTGTCGAATCCGGAGCCATCGTATCCGTCGATGCTAAAATCCTCATTTCTCATGTTTCCCTGTTCTATTTTGCATTTGACTAAAGCACTAAGCTTTGGTTTACGAACCCTTTCATCTTGCCCCTTTACAATTGGTTCGACATATTTTATCAACTCTCTCCAAAAGCATCTAATCTGCTATTAATTTTTGCGCTGATGTTTTTTTTTTCCTCCACCTCGAAGATCCTTTCGGAGAATTAAGCGGGGAATGAATGGCAACCTGAACCAGAGAATGGCATTTGATGGGTTATCACAGATGTTTTTCAAAATATCCTTCAATATCCGGCCAAACTTACCACGTGATTGCTTGGGCACATGGTCAACTAACCGACAGCCCGATGATTTTTCAAAAAAATTTTCAGCCAGTGACGATTTACTCTTCATATCGACAGCGGTATCAAGGACCCTTGAGTCTTCACTCGTCTTTGAGATGTTGGCGTTGACGACATTGAGCGACCTTCGTTTTCTGCTCGAAGGTGGGTGCTTCAAAGATCCCGGACATTCTGAGCCTTTCACTTTTCCGCCATGTCTAACGAGAGTACCATCCTGCCTCACTTTAAAATGTTTATAACACACATGGCACAGAGTGAGGGAAGTCGTGCTTGGTACATGTCCTTGACTCAACATTAAGAAACCAGCAACGCAAACTGTTATTATTATTGTAAACTGTACATAAGGCTTATAACATAAAATTATTGTAATTATTATTATGGTAAACTGTACATAAGGCTTATAACATAAAAAATTGTAGAAATTTTATGTATGTATGTATGTATGTATGTATGTATGTATGTATGTATGTATGTATGTATGTATGTATGTATGTATGTATGTATGTATGTATGTATGTATGTATGTATGTATGTATGTATGTATGTATGTATGTATGTATGTATGTATGTATGTATGTATGTATGTATGTATGTATGTATGTATGTATGTACGTATGATGTATGATGTATGTATGTATGTATGTATGTATGTATGTATGTATGTATGTATGTATGTATGGATGTATGTATGTATGTATGTATGTATGTATGTATGTATGTATGTATGATGTATGTATGTATGTGTGCGAGTCCTTGGTTAAAAACAATAGCCATAAAAACTATCATTTAGTCCCGACTCACTAATAATAAACAACATAATAAATGTTGGTCCTAGGATCTCGCACAGCCGGGCATTTGGCGATATTTTCTAATATACAAAAAGAATAAAATTTTTGTAATAATAAAGAAATATTTTGTTTTTTATATATTTTATCGTTTGGATCGCATGACACTTCGATTATTCTAGTTCAGATTTTGTCAAAAAAATGCTGTGTGACCTTATCAATTGGACCAAATGTTTCAACACAAACCGGGACAAACAATCTTGTGTCGTCATTCAGATCAACATATTTGGAATTTTTAAAATCAGCTGCTCTTATGGCGGCGGAACCAGGTTTCAATGAAGTATTGCTGATATACCTATCTGCCAAAGTATGTGGGAACGTCACGTCCCACGTCAGACAACGACCATCAGACCATGGAGTTACAATGTATCCATCTGGTCTAATATTCCTATTCGAGATCAGACCGGCAGGCTCTTTTATGGCTGGTATATAAGCTTTTTGGAAAATCAGATAATCATTCATTGCTGAATGCCTAGCCTTCCTGCCGGATCCCAACTTACATGAAAGACCATGATAGCCCAAAGAAGAAACATGTATATATATATACATACACACACACATATCTACATATATGTATGTATATATATATATATAGAACAATAAGCAGATCAATTGTGTTGTGTATGTACGCAAATACATGTCAATCGAGCAAGACATTAGACACAATGCGAATGCCTGTCTCTGATATCTGTGTGCGAACCGCTTACATCCATGAACGCTCGACCAGATGCCTTGAACCATTACATCATCTGGCCTTCATAACGAGATTGTAATTTTTTTAAATTTGAAAACTGTCAAACAAGAATTTGTAACCAGTTTTGAATCGTCTATGCCTTAATTTTTTTATTTTTATATGCACAATATAATTGTTTTGCTTATATTTTCAAATAATGCAATAAGGTAGAATATTGTATAATATTAAAATTTGTAGACAATCTTGTTGTTGGCTTTTTATTGATCTTGTAATTTATTTTTCAATTTTTTAATGTGGTTGTTCGCTTTTTAAGATTTTAAAACATTTTTAAGCGAATGATCATGCCCATGATGATCAGGAAATGTGAAAGCATGCTACTTTACAACGATCATGAAATACTTGAGGGTATTTGTGGTTCAGGGTTGTAACAGACTAAGCTCGCTGATTGCCTGTTTGTTTCCATAACATACAACTGCATACATAAATGTTGGAGGTACATCGCGGCATACATTAATTAGTGTTGAAGATACATCGACATTATGGTTGATGATAATCAAATGATTTGCATAATTAAGGCAATTCATTTATTAAAAAACCATTCTAATGGTCTATTACTTTCTTTATTATTTTCAGGTTCAAAGAAATCGAAACCACTCAAGCAGCTTATATGAATACGCGTCACATACGAAGCATGTGATAAGTGGGGATTTTTTGTCATATTCGAACTTGGTTATTCCAGGCAGTGCGAAACAGCACCAGGCCATCACGCCGCCCTATTCAATGAAAATTTACGTGACTATATGACTCTGCCAAAATTCAACAAGCTTGGTACGAGTGCCACGATAAAGGTTTGAAATAACAATCTTTTATCTGTCTACACATAAGAGGCAACAATTTTGAATCCCGACCTCGCTAGATACTATATCACTGCATACATTAATGTTGAAGGCACATTCCTGCCTTGATGTATTTCCTCACAATTTAATTTTGAGACGCATTTCATGTTTTAGACCCCAGGCCACCATCACGTGTCAGCACCACGTGTCACTGTCACACATGACCCATACAGTTATCAGCTCTTGAGTTTCCTCGGACAATGAAGGAAAAGCGACCTAAGTTTTATCTTTATTTTGTTTTATCTTCCGGGCTCCGGTACACGTTCATTCAAACAAACAGCTGAGCCTGGAAGATGAAAAATAAAATTTGAAAATGTCAAGGTCGCCATGCCTTGCTCGGACAGCTTTCGGACCAAACTTAAACTGTCTGAATAAACTATCCAATCAACTAACACAGCGTAGTATAAAAATTTATGCCCACCAACTCAAGTTGATCCTCATATTATAAAATATTTCCGTTTGATCAAAAAACAAGAAAGTTGATAAAACAACGATTATGAATAATAGACAGATGATACAAACACTATGACAGAAATAAAAATTATTAGTTATTGTTTGCTAACTAACAGTTTAACTAAATCAAAATGTTTAATTCGAGTAGGAACAAGTCACGAAAACTAAGAAGCCTCCACTCCTATCAGCAGCCCTGTCATCTTCTGGGGAGGGCAGGTCTCGTTATCGAACCGAAGGCGGGCGAAATACGATTATCTCTTCTATAATCGTCGTCTTCATCATCGCCATCGTCCTCATCGTCGTCCTCGATGCTGTTAAGTTTATTTATTTTATTGTTGCAAGACTTTGTAGCATTGGCGAGCAGCAGGGGGGCAGGCATGATCATGTTGACCCTGGCTGGCGTGCGTGGGGGTGGTGCGGGTGCCTTTTCGTCATCATTTATATCATCATCGCTATCTTCGCTATCGTTGTTATTGCTATTATTATTATTATTATTATTATTATTATTATTATTATTATCATCATCATTATCATTATCAATATTATTATTATCGTTGTTATTAATTAAGTTCCGATCAGTGTCTTGAAAATTATAATTGCATATTTTCATACCTTTTTCATAATTGTTAATATTTTTATTAATGTTGTTGTTGTTGTTTTTATTGTTATTATTATTATTATTATTCACAAAAAAAGGGGGTGCTATTGAAATGACATTTCTATTTCTTAGAGCTTTCTGATTGGGTGGCTGGTCACGTGATGAGTTGGTTTGTATCGTTGCTAGAGTTTCAATATATTGTTGTTGCTGCTGCTGCTGCTGTAGTTGTTGTTGTCGGGGCATTAGAGTTGGTAACTGTGATTGCAGATGCGTTTGGTACTGCTGATGTTCACGATGCTGTTGATTTTGTGGGTGATTTAGTTGAGTTTTCGGCATATCGTTGTTATCACTATTAAAATTATTCCCCTTATTGAATTCGATATTATTAAAAATGTGATTTGTTCTATTGCGGTTATTATTACTGTTAGTTCTCCTAGAGACGCCCACATCAACATTACTGGGAATAACATTCTCACGGGGTGCAATTTCACTGGAGTCATCATCAGTGATTACTAATCCATAAATATCCATATCTGTCTCTTTGTTAACTTTCTCATTCAAAGGCATGCTGCGCCAAGTTATTAGCGACTTTGTCGGCTTAACATTTTTGTTCGTTGTCGATGGTAGCGTGGGAGATGTTTGTGGTGAGGTGACCACCTTAGCTGCTGTGGTTTTGGATACCACTGGTGAAGGGTTGCTTCTCGGTGGAATTTTCGGTGGTATTTGGGTCTCTTGTTCGGCAATGTTGGGCTGAAAATGAGGTTAAAAGTTGGTGAACAAATTGAAAAATAACGCGCTAATGCATAACGTTTTGTTTTTATTATATCATTGTTCAGAACTTGTATTATAGTAAAAAATAAAAATGGAAAAAATAATTTTTTAAAGTTGTTAGCGATTGCAAAATAAAAATAATTCTTTTTGAGATAAGTCTCTTTTATGGTCTAATGGGCGGGGACCTGATGGTCTATTGGTTAAGGTCGAACCCAGTTAAGGTAGGTAACCGGGTTCGAATATGACAAAAAGATCCCCGCCTATCACATGCTTTGTGTGTGATGAGTCGTTTAGCACATACTAATTTACGATGTTTGTGCGCTCTGTTGAATCATCTGAACTTTGGAAAAGTGTAATTGACCTTTAACCTTAACCTTTAAAATCACTTTGATGAGAAAATTCTTAAAACTCCTTAAAACGCGAAGCAACTAAGAACTTGTGCAGTGCATTTGTTTGCTTCGTCTTCTCTTCTCTATTTCTTATGCTCAATGGAATGAATTAATAATATCAAATCGGTCATTATCGATCAGGAACAAAACACGGTAATTTTATCATGGTTGGTACCATTGATTCCTCAATGCAAAAATTTGGTTCAACAGGTTACTGCTTTAAAAAAGCTTCAGAAATAAAAAATTTTGAAAAATCCTTGTGAATTCAAAATGATAGTTGTTTCAGATAGCAAAAGCTACTGGAGGCATGTCATTTATCTTCGCATCTTCACTACTTTCTTAAAACATTTTTCTATTGGTCTTTTGACCAACAGAACATAGACAAATACGATGTACAAACAAATTTCATGATTAGCTTTGCAATCAATTTTTTTATTTTTCCGTGGCACCCAACCCACTCATTTTTGTCACACTGTCAAGTTCTGCACCGCCATGAAAGAGATGGCAGCTAGCGGACAGAATCTTGTTCGCGAGTACGTCAAAAAGAAAGGTATTTAAAGTTGATTAAAGATGTGAGACTGCATTTTACAAATATTTATCACATGCAATCGTTACTGTGCAAGACGTTCATTCTAGGATCGAAAAAGACAATGTTACATATGTGACTCCGAGGTCATGTAAAGACTTAAAGAATTAAAAAAATATATAATGCTTGCAATGTTAACTTGATTAACCGGCTGGATAGATGACTCATTTGATAACATGTTAAACAATTGAAATAAAAAAAGAAGCGAGAATCATGAAGTAAGAAGGTAGGAACCAGTTTCTTCGGGAATCCAGTCACAGACTCAGCGCTGCAGTAACCACTAGTTCCGCCACCTTGTGTGCTGTCGAAACTTTGTGTACTCTCCCTGCCTGTTGTATCGAGAAAATTAATAATAACAACAATATTTATGGGATTTCAAGAATTATAAACATCTAAAGATAATAAAATATTTTCTAGATACTGATAGCAACATGGTTAGTCTGAGATATTAAATGTCGTTCAAGTTCTTGTTCAGCAGTGGTTCGCAGCGTTACAAATTACATTTTATTTGCCGATAAAGAATTAGTTATAGATGGTTTTTTGGAGAGATTCGGATTGAAAAATGTATGCAGATTTGCGAGCCAACGCATTTGTTTAAGAGGACATTATTTTTTAAAAACTTCAAAAATTTTGTAAAAAAAAATGTTTTAATAAATAATAATCAAGGCAAGTCAAGATATAAATTTTGTGGCCATTAAATTTGTAGTAATAATTATTAAAATTAAACAGAAACGAGTTTTTGGTCATTTTGAATCAAACACCACTTGATCTGGGGCTGAAAATGTTTCGTCAGAAGTTGCAACCGTGTCGGTATAAAATTTCTACATAGTTTATATTGGGACCAATCGGGAAAAGAAAACTTTCGTAAAATGATTATTTAATAATTTTCAAAAACCAGAAACCATTGTGGACATTACATGCTTACCTAAAAAATACGCGAAGAAATTTAAAGAGAGGAGTTTATTTAGTTCGGCAGTATGAAAAATGCAGTGATGGCACATAGATGGAGTCAACACAAATTTTCAATTTTTTTTGCCTAATATAGTCTTCAACGAATTCAATAAACCACTGATTTGTTAACAAACTTGAACTGGAAGATCGATCAATGATCGGTTTGGCAGGCACTACTGGTTGAACCTATAAATTATATTGTGATCGAATGACATTTCGGAAGTGTGAATTAAGCAGTTAAATTAATTATTGTAATGATATTCAATAGTCATCCAATAAATTTGTTCGCTATTGAATTAATTACCTTTTTCCACGGGTTATCAATGGATTCGATTTTAGTATTTTCGTAATTATTGGTCTTCGTCTTGTTGAACTTAACGTGAAAATATTGTTTGGCATTTTTCACGATGGAAGATTTTGAAGTGGGTTTCGTGGGGTTCAGTGGACTCAAGCACAGATTGCAATCTTTGGGATCCTTCATGGTGTCGGTGTTCATTATCACGTTCATTTATCGGGTTTGTATCGGTTGATAATATTTTTAAGAAAAGCTTCGATTTATCATCAGTTGAACGAAAAACAAAAAGCCAATCAAATTTAACAGAACAGCAAAACAATTGATTATTATTTGTTGACATAGAATAATAAACAAAGTTTTCAAAATCTATTAAAATCGACCGCATGTGCACTACCTGACTTGCCTACCTTGCAATTATTTATTTTCCATGCGTCAAAAAGAACATTAGCTTCTGAAATTGTTAACTTTTTCTCTTTCACTTGGTTCTGGATGTCTATCAGTTCCAGCTGTCCCGCCGTGTAACATATGTTTGAAAGAGGAACATCACTTCGCTGGTCTTCAGCTATATTTAATCCATTGTAAATAAAATAGACATTTCAAGTTTATAAAGGTATTTTATTTTAATTGTTATACATTATGGTACACATACATTAGTTTTGTTTATGTGAATGATATTATTTGAACACTCTTTCAACAACATTATGTCGCCTTACTCGATGGAATGTTTCGATTTGACGACTGCGGTTGTTGTGCTGGAAACTTTTGTAGTTTAGAAAGAGGTTTACAAGTGGGATGTTGTGGTTCTGTTTGTTGCTGTGGAATGATTCTATTGAAGTGGTTGGACTTTTTTGGAGGCAGAGGAGGTTGGGTAATCGATGACGACATTGAAGACGGTGATGCTGATGATGATGTCGGAAAGGTTGGCGCTGATGATGATGCTAAGAACGGTGAAGTTGGCGATGATGATGTGGCCTCTGAAGAATAAAACTCAACTGTGAAATTTTTAACAGCTATCAAGTGGCTGTTTCTTGATATATGGAGGGACGTTTGGCCGGTTGGAATATCTGTGAACGATGATAACGATAGCGACGATGATGATGATTGTGATGGTGATGATGATTGTGATGGTGATGATGATTGTGGTGGTGATGATGATTGTGATGGTGATGATGATGATGATGATGACGAAGATGACGGTGGAGGTGACAGTAATTACGGTTGTGATAATGATGTAATGAAAATGAATGAAAAACTAGTAGCAAGGCCATTGAAGATCAATTCATCAATAGTGCTGGAGGTTGTTAAGAAATGACAAAAGACGATAAAGTCAAAAATGATGATGATGATGATGTTATTATTGATGTTGATGATGTTGTTGTTGTTATTGATGATGATGATGATGATGTTGATGGTGATGGTGATGATAATGGTGATGATAGTGATGCTGGTGATGTTGTTCAAGATGATGGTGACGATAAAGACGATGATGATGGTGATAATGAATGAATGAATGAGTGAGTGAGTGAATGCGTGAGTGAGTGAGTGAATGCTTGAATGAACGAACGAACAAACGAACGAATGAATAATGATGATAAGGATGATAATGAAGAATTGGGTACAAGTGTATATTACAATGAATTTTGAACAACGAAAGGACCGGGAACCAAGAGAAAAATCGAAAAATCCCTTCAGCGATTGCATTCAATGGCTGGCATTCTCAACGTTAAACATCAAACATGCCTATTGACAATAAGTATATGCAAATAAATAATTTTTAGTATATATATATAAACAAATGTATGCGTATGGCGTGTGTGTTTGTGTGTGTGCGCGCGCCTAAATTTACTGCCTAGTTTAAATATGAAAATGTATTAAAATGTATTGAATCTTCCTTGTTTAGCAAAATCATGCGACTGAATGTTTGAATGTAGTGTAAAAACACTCGTGCGTGCGTGTGTGCGTGCGTGCGTGTGTGCGCGTGTGCGTGTGTGTGTGACAACATTTGAGCAACCATGTGAAACGTTTGAATAGGCAGCTACACGTTCATGTGTCCTTATATTTTATATTTATTAAAGTAGTTACGTGCATAATTCAAAATGATTTATAAACAAACACATATACATAGACAAATACACAAACAAATGCACACACGCACGCAGGCACACATATATATGATTATTATTAAACAGTGAACAGTGTCAATATATTACTACTTCATGCTCTGACGCTGCAGGTCAACAGCGCTCCTCAATGAACAGTTGAGGCTTGAGATCCGCTCCGAACTTCGTTAAGTGAAGTGATGGAGAAGTAGTTAGTGAAGGAAGTAAGAAGGGAACAATAAAAGCAAAGGCAGATTTAGCATGGGTATGCTTAACAGGAGTTAAGAAGAAGTGAAAACAAGAAGACGATCGCAGACCGAAGCGTGTTTGGGTTTAATTTAAGTATCAGATACCTTTTTCAGAAATAAAGCAGATTGAAACATTATCCCAAACATAGGAGCAGATAGGAACACGAGGCGAGCGGCAGGCAGAGTTGAAGAGAAGAAGCAGGAAGACGGGCTGCAGTAATCGATCCCAAGAAAACGATTGAAATGACAAATAAGGGAAGAGTAAAAATAAAAATTCCTAACTTATAAATTAATCTATAACTGTTGCTATTCTGAAATGATGATGAGTGATGATGATGACGACGACGATAAGGATGATGATAACTGATGAGGAAGTATGAAATGACGATGATGATGACGGCAGGAATGATGATGATGATGACGATGATGACCGGACTAACCACTCGGCAGCTTCACTTTGTAGACGTTCTCCGCGATAGATCGCACTCTCAGAATGTTTCCACTGTTGACGTATTGACCGCCAGCATCCCATTCATAATCTTCATCATCATTCTCATCATCATGGCGAGCACTGCTACGACAATTAAAGTAGTCCTCATTACTTTTAAAATTATCCTGATCACATTTGTGGCCACAGCCGAGAGCGGGGCGGTTGAAGTTGTGGCCACAATGTTTTTGTCGGCTGGGTTTTTTCACGCTTTCATCCTGTCGTGGTAGCAATCTGATACAGACGCTGTCGGGACCATCATTGTTCTTGTTGCCGCTGCTGTGGCTGCTGCTGTGGCTGCTGCTGTAGCTGCTGCTGATGATCATGATGATTATGATTGGTTCGTTCTGTAGGAAAGAATAACAATGTTAACAAGGACAACCTCAAAGTAACTGTATAGAGCGAGAAGTCCTAACACGTCAGCCTCACCAACGCAACAAATCAAATTCAAACTCAACAATATTAACATAACATCAACACGCCAACAACTTACTCCAGTGAAGACAACATTCTCCGGGATCACCTCGACTCCGTTCGACTTGTTGGACTCAAAGTTTATCAACTTCAACATCTTCCAATCGAGATGCAATGTTTCTCAGCAGCCTTTTCGGCGATGATGACACGAACGAATGTTTTTTTTTCTACCAACAACTCAACATCTTCTGTTTAATTGTCACAATTTCCATCAGCACGCTAATATGCCGCTATCTTACGCAGGCAGTTATGCAAAAGTTGTTTCTAATATATACGTATGTATGTATGCATACATACATACATACATACATACATACATACATACATACATACATACATACATACATACATTCACTTATACATTCGTATATATAATGTATTGTATGAGCAGGTAGAGGCGAACAATTGCTGAATAGTTGTCGCTTGAGTAGTTTGTTAAATAAAAGAGGTTACGAATGTTGCGATAATGACGACGACGACGATGATGAAGACAGTGATGATAGTGATAATGATGATGATGATGAACAAGATGATTGTTTTGATGGAGAGTAACGATGGTAATGATAACAATCAGAGGCGCCGACTTGTCCGATATATTGGAGGGGCCAGGCCAGGGCTACCTATTGATATATTATACCATATGATTCTACTGTTTCATTATGATATATATATATATATATATATATATATATATATGCAAATTTCATTGAAATTGTTTGCCCATTTTGCATTAATTAACTTCTTTATAAGACATTCAACGAGGCGGTATTGTTTGAGTTCATATTTATCTAAAACTGGAATAAAGCTAACAGCGCTGTTTCGGCGTAATGCCATCTTCAGAGCCTAAATATTGTTTAAACATATAATTTAATTAAAGTAAATGCCTAATGTAAAATGTGAAAATATAGAAAATAAAATATGTATTAAATTGTGAAATAAATTAACCTTGTTAACATAGGTCTGATGTGGAAACTCGTATCACACATATTCAACCGCAATAGTTGTATTCACAACGCATACACAGCAATATTATATATCTGGCGCACATGTCATTCATAATTAGTTTTCACTAACGTTTCTCAACCATGTTAAAACTTTTATAAAATTTCTATATTTTAATTATTTTACTAAACATTTTATTTAAATTACATTATTTTATTTATATAATCTACATAAACTTTAGTTATTATGATATTTACAACAAGGTTAATTTATTTCACAATTTAATACATATTTTATTTTCTATATTTTCACATTTTACATTAGGCATTTACTTTAATTAAATTATATGTTTAAACAATATTTAGGCTCTGAAGATGGCATTACGCCGAAACAGCGCTGTTAGCTTTATTCCAGTTTTAGATAAATATGAACTCAAACAATACCGCCTCGTTGAATGTCTTATAAAGAAGTTAATTAATGCAAAATGGGCAAACAATTTCAATGAAATTTGCATTTCTGAAAACCTCGTTCCTAAATATATATATATATATATATATATATATATATATATATATATGTTTCAAACATATATAAATATAGGAGGTTATGAAATAAAACATTCAATCAAAATTAAAACAATGCAAATGTTTTTAATCGTAAATCATTTCGTTTAAAAAATCATTGCATAATTGTTTAATGTCAATTGACTCGGTTGAGTTTCTGTAGTAATGCAGTATCGTTCTACATGGTTCAGCCTCCCCTGTCCCATTGTGGATTGCAGATACGTTTTTAGACTGCTTAAGGCTGAGAAACTTCTCTCTGATGTGCAATTTGTTACAGGTAACGTCAAAAAAGCATTAAAACTTTGAAAATTTCCGAAAACATTTTCTGCCTAGATTTGCATTTTATCAGATCAATAACATCTTGCATGCTTTGGATTTCCTTTTTTGAATTACTACAATCATGGGAGATGAGGTCTCGAAACATTTTCAGATGTAGAATAAGACGATCTTTATTTGTATCATTTCCGTAATATTCTAAAAGCTTTGAAACATTTAAACCCTGATCCTGCAGATTTAAAGTACTTAGAACTGAGTTTTCAATGTTTTGTGCAATAAGAAATCCTTCAGACTTGAATCTTGTTTTCAGATATTCAAGTGCGGCATCCACGATTTGAATGTAAAATCTTTTGAAATACTTCTTTCGATCAGCAGGTTTATAAGGTTGTACGCCTTCGTCCATCATTTTCTGGGACACATCAATGATGGTGCTTGTATATTTTTTGGCAGCTTTCAAAGTTACTTCATGCCAAAAGTCATTAAATGACGGTAAACAAATCTCAAGAACTAATTATGAAAATTAGTATGGAAAGTTTAGAAAATATTTAAAATTATACCTAAAAAAAATATTCAATTCCTATGACAAAATATTGGGGGGCTCAGCATTGTGCGGACTTGAGGGACTAAATATTGGGAGAACTCGAGCCCTTCCAAGCCCCATGAAGCTTTTTACAAATGTATACAATTTTGGACTGCGCGATGGTGTAATAGTTAAGGTGCCTGGCATTGTTGATGCAGTGTCCGAGTTCGATTGCAAAAGAAGAACCCAATCAACTTTGTGATGCGTTGATTCACTTGTGCTTATACACCGTGTGTCTGTTATAATAATGATAATGCGCCTCAGTCGCTTGTCTTGACCCTATATAAAATGACATTATCATTAGTTTCGAAAAAACGTTTGTTTAACATTTATTTTGACAAACAAAAATTAAAAAAAAATTGAAAATTCAATTATAAATCTATGGAAAGTTGTAGCTTTCAAACTGTCATTTGTATCTCAGATAAAACACCATATTTAATACGTATAATAAACAAATTCACATAACACTTACATACCTACCTACATACATACATTCATGCATGCATCCATGCATCTATCCATCCATACATACGGGAGATGCACTGAATAGTGATTTTGGCCGAAGTAGGATAGCTTTTGTTGATCCACTACTCGGTCAAAGCCATTTGCCGAATAGAAAAAAACCCAAAATTTAAAAAAATTTGTTTTTTAGAATAAAAATAAGCTGTTGAAAAAATGTTAGCGATTCATGTCTATCCACTATTCACAATTCTATATTAAGATAATATCAAATCTATTGTTCGAATTCAGACGTTTGACCATCTGTGATGGCCAATAATAACTTCGCGCTAACAACATGCCACAAC